CCCCAGCCGCTCGCGCTGCGCGCGGCCCAGCTTGCCTGCGAGGCATCCTCAGAGCGCTGGCACCCGCGGGCCATCGCCCGGGTCCATTTCACACCCCGACGGGCTCCGCCGGCCCCTCGCACCCTAGGCAGCCTTTACGCCGGGTACAACGGGAAGCAAATGTTCTTCTGGGCTGTTGACTTCGTGGAGCTTTTCTGAATTTTGAATAAAAGGCTTAAAAGGCTGTCCTGGCGCTGACCGCTGAGGGCAGCCCAGGCTGCTGGGCCTGCTGGGGCTTCATCCGCCAGGTTCTCACGGCAACAGCAAAGTGACTCGGGTTAAACTGCAGAGAACCCTTGTTTAAAAACATAGGCCCAGATAGGGAGCAAGTTTTCTACTTCCAAACGCTCTCCACAGTTTGTTTTAATCCAGCTTAATTTCTCCAAGCACTGACTCTCCATGTATATCATTAAAATGCATCTTGCGTACACTGGCAGCAACACCCACAAGTCATTCCGCTGCTAACCGCCTGTGGCTTTTAAAGGGACCTGACCATTATTTTCCAGGAGGACTTTCTAATACTCTTTTAATTGCCACATTACTAGAATATATTGAAGCTCAGAGGTGGTGAGAGATTAAGCCTCATTTTTAACAGCTCCCACAGGCACAGCCACATTCTCTTTACTGTTAAGCATGTACGAGCTATCGGTCTTTTACACGACAGGCTGGTAGCTTTGTCAGGTCATTCGCATTCGTCTTCTTCCGTTTCCAAAACTACCATAAAAAAAAAAGGGAAAGGAACACATATGAACAATCCTCCCCTCCAACCTCGAGTATTTTGGTACCAGCAGTATGGAAGGTGCCGACAAACCGTTACAAGCGAGGGAGAAAGCAGGCCCAGCAGTGGATTTCTCAGTACTCCAGGCCCTCAGAAAAGAGAGTACGAGCCCTTAGCGTGGATTTGGGGTTTGTTACTGTATTAACCGGTTACGCAGCAGCACACCGTGTATCGCTACTGCCAGATACCTACCCAGCCGCTCCCTCTCCCCCTCAGCAGGACAAGGAGGAGGGGAAAAAACAGGATGAAAAAGCTCATGGGCCAGGATCGAGATAGGGAGATTTGCACAGCACTTACCATCGGGGCAAAACAGACTCAACTTGAGAAAAACTAACTCATTTTATTGCCAATTCAGAGAGATTTGGGTAGAGAAAAGAGGTTTCTGCATTCCTGGCCGTAGGCTGGTTGACTGGTCTTACCTCGTTTCATTAATTCTCTCAAGAAGACGGTACTGTAAACTGGGTAGAGGTGCTCAGCCCCCCAAGACACCTCCCCACATGTCCCGAGTATTTTCTTTTCCAGTTAGGTGAGAGGGCAGGACATCTTTTGGTTTGGAATTCCTTTGGTTTCAAGTTTGCCTGTTTGGGGTTTTCTTTTTAATTAAGTAAAAAAAATTTTTTTTTTTCACTGCAAAGAAAATGTTCTGATGTCACACCCCAGAGAGTTTGTGTGACACAAAATTAAGGTGCTATTGGGGTCACAGCTTTTTCAAGAAATATAATTATTTCTAAATCAAGTCTTGATAAGAGATGTTACAGCCTCTTTAGGACAAGAATATTTGTAAGTAATCCTCGTTATGTGCACCTCACCTTTTTTTATTTAAAAAGCCCACTACATAAACACCGCAAGGACTGTGCTTTTCTGACTTTCCCCATGTGGGATCAGCACGAAGTACCGAGGCATGGCACGCGTTCGCGAGGAAGTCCAGTAAGGCCTGTTTCACATTTCAGAGGTGTAAGCCGGGGGCTCTGCGAGTTAGCAGATCTGGAACGGTGCGCTCAACTGCTCTCGAGGCCACATTCAAGGGACATTTATCAGTTTCAGGGAGAACCTTCGATACAACCCTTGCAGAACCAGCGGGCAGCACGCCACCCACCTCTCATCTCTGCAGAGTGTGGAGAAGATGGGCCTTCGTTCCCATCTCAGCAGTCGTGATGGTTGGGGCTTTTCTTCCCCCGTTACAAACAAACCAGAAAGGAGAATAAAACCAGACCAGCTCCAATACAAATGCTTTCAAAAGCAATTTGATGTAAAACCAAGAAGAATCCCCCAGACCATCGCGATTCTGGCGCTCAGCCTTCTACTCACACTGAGCTTGGTATCACACACCACGAAAGAAACTGTGTTCTCCGAGGAACAGCAAATCCTCCTCAGTCTTTTTTAGGTTCTTCATGAAGTTAAAAATGCCTGTAATAAAAGCGATATAAATAACGTTTGGTGTCCCATACTGTTCCAGTGAAGGGAAATTATGGCTTTAATGTTCCACTGAGAGATGACGAATACAATTTCCCCTCCCCCTGCTTTTTGCACACAGTAATAAAATATTGATCTTTATGACAAAACAAGCAAGATCTGTATGGGGAACAGTTCAGGAGGGTTTCACGGCTCGCAGCGGCAGAGCGTGCAACGTTAAAGATCAAGTGTCAGTTCACTGAATTAATGCCCCAGCGTGGCCGAGTAAAGGATTTTGCAAAGAGCCGTAATAGTTTCTTCTCCTTCTTTACGAGTTTCCAAGTCGCCATCATTTAGTTGCTCATCTGTACTACTGCAGATCAATCTGACATGGGTTATTAGCATATCTGGCTCCTGTGCTCCAAGCCATACATCCCCAATGTAAGCAGAAGTCAGGAACACACACACAGCTGTGGACGAAAAATTTGAGAAAAATCAGATTCTTTTATTTCCACACAGGAATACAAACCCACACCACTGCACCTCCAGACCCACATTTTAAAACTGTTTCCTCTCTCTTTTTCTAGATGGAAAATCTCTGGGAGTTTTGCCCATGCAAAGCCAATGACCCTCCCCACACCAATGAAAGGGAACTCTTCCTCGTTAGCGCAATATTCTGACCTCTTTAAATAAGAGTTTGAAAACTGGCCTGCGGCTTTTGCTATCAAACGGTAACACCCAAAGGCATATGGACGGGAACCCGCACCCACAAGGATCTGGTTTGTGGCACAGTTTTTCCCTTTGGAATGGTATTTTTTTATACCTCACCAAACACCATTTTAACCTCAGAAAGGCAAGTTCCTTTGGGGGAGTATGGCTGCTGTAGCCCCACAGTGCGACCCTACTCTGCGCTACCAACACCCGTGCCCACACCACCAAAGACACAGCTTTTTACGTTGTGAAGTTACGAGCACCAACAGACATGGGCAAACCTCAGGCTGTTTTGAGAAACTAAAAAACAAGCACACCCCCATGGAATTTTTGCCACCGTCGCCACCTCGTAACATGAGCGAGAAGACAAGTTACCTTTCTTGTTCGCATCCTCTTCCGTCACTGCCGACAGGCACAAGGCTTTCACCAGCCCGTGAACGCTGCTGCTGGCCAGGCCCTGCGCATCCATCAGGTGCAGCATGACTGAACTGAACAGACAGAGCTCGTCAAGGCACCCGGCCGCACCCCCGCTGGCCTCACAGACCCGGGTGTAAAACCTGAAGAGGTTGTTCCTCAGCGTCTCGTCCCCGAGCACCTCCCGCACCGCCCCGGGGTGCGGCAAGATGCAGCTCTGCAGCCAGCGCAGAGTTAACGAAACGGTTTGTGCGTTGAGGCTGTGCTCAACCAGGGACTTCACGAGCCATTTAGTCACGAGGTAAGCGGACACGCAGGTAAGACCGACTGTTGCGTCCTCAAGGTCAGCGGCTTGGAGGGGCTCCCCTCCAAGTTCGGTAGGCGGCGCCGGGAAAACAGGCTCCCAGTGGGCAAATATGGAATTCAGATGATCTCTGCACTTCTCCAGCTCTGAGACTTTCAGGTCTGCAGCAGCGTCCTCTTCTCTTTCCATCTCCTTCTTTTTCTGAAGATGACGATACGCGTGAGACGAGGCTTGAGGTTTGTTCTTGTCTTTAAGATTTTCTGTAAGAATTAAAAACACCGCCAGCACAAGCATCAGACACTCCATAGAATCATAGAACGGTTTGGGTTGGAAGGGACCTTAAATCATCTAGTTCCAACCCCCCTGCCATGGGCAGGGACACCTTCCACTAGACCAGGTTGCTCAAAGCCTCATCCAGCCTGGCCTTGAACACTTCCAGGGATGGGGCATCCACAGCTTCTCTGGGAAACCTGTTCCAGTGCCTCACCACCCTCTACATGAAGAACTTCTTCCTGACATCTAATCTAAACCTCCCTGATTTCAATTTATACCCATTACCCCTTGTCCTATCACTACAGGCTCTTGTAAAAAGTCCTCTCCCAGTACCCTTGTAGGCCCCCTTCAGATACTGGAAAGCTGCAATGAGGTCTCCTCGGAGCCTCCTCTTCTCCAGGCTGAACAAGGATCTTCTTGGTACAGAATCACACAAGAAAGATGGCGTCACGCGTTGTTTCACCTCATGAGAAAGGCTCAAGCCGCCCTTCTCAGGGCTAGCAAGGGCAGAGCACACACCTGCCCATGGAAGGGGCTACCGGCACGGCGACGCCACTTTCCGGCGGCGCAGGCTGAAGCGGCAAGGTCTGCCTTCCCCCAGCACGGCCGCCTCCTGGCCGAGCGTCTGGGTGGCCAGGTGCTGCCAACCAAGGGCACGGGAATTCTTCCACACCCTGAGGGAAGAAAGCGACAGCCGAACTTCGTCACGCAGGGCTGCCCTCCGTCAGACGCTGCCCCAGAGCTCCCACACAGCAATGGCACTTTGCCCGCCACCGCATGGAGCATGTCACGGCAATCTCCTTTTGAGAGGACGCCAAGAAAGTCACCAGAAATGTCAATTATGTCACACTCTGCAGCTTAAAGTCAGTATTTTTTTCCCCCGGGGGCTGTGGGGGACAGGGATAACCCTGGAATCAAAGATTCTACGACTCTATTAGGTTGGAAAAGACCTTCAAGATCATCAAGTCCAACCATTAACGGGTTATAATTACTTAGTAATGGAGACATAGGCACAGGAATCCCAACCAAGTAGCTTCCCCTACACCTCGTTAACCTCAGAAACAAGATTTCAGACAATTTCCCCTTTTTTATACAATTGCTTTATAAGCTCCTGAGGCTTACAGCATACAGTAACCATCTAAAAATCCTCCTCAGAAAGACACTCATAGGGTGTGGAAAACTTTAGAAAAACTACAGCTTGTATAGTATCCCTTAAATACAGTGACACTTTGATTGTCAGTTTAACCAATACAGAACGCTTCAGGAAACCTCTAGGAGTTGTGATGTGCACCAAGAGCAGTTGTATTTGCCGGAAACCGGTGTTGTTTAACAGCTCCCATCACAAAGCTCCTTCTACATTACATTCAGAGAGATAACAAGACATGCAAATCCAAACGGATTTTTGCTTTCCAACGCTGACGACAATAAGAAAAATGAACTATTTCATTTTTGCCTGCTTTACTGCTAGTTTTTACCTGTATTTCGCTTTCAGATCCCCCATGCGCACTCAGAACGGTTCGTATCTTCTGAGCACCAAGCCTCCAAGAACCTACTTCTTTTAAGATTTCATTTAGGAATACAATTTTTCAAAGCCTGACGCTAGATCTGCAACTAAATTTTTTTTTTTTTTTCCCTTTTTAAAACTGTATTTCTCCAAAGCTTCCAGATTGGTGTTAAAGTCCGAAATCACTAAAATAAAGACCTGAAAAATGGCTTTCTGTTTCCATTCTCCCTCCCCCAAGCTACATCAGATTATCCAGCGAAAGCTATTAATACCACTTCCTATGAAGTTTGCCTCCCTTCTACGGTCAGCTTCCAACAGCCGCAACAATATTCCCCTTAGTACTTACTAAGCAACTCCTTGATTTGGTATTTCTGAGCAAGAGTCTGCAGATCCTCCTGCAGTTTCAGGTCTTTCTCGACGATGCTCCACTTATGCAGCAGCAGGAGGATGTCTTTGGTTGAGAGAACGCCGTCGTTCACGGTGAACCGATTCATTTCTTTGAAGGCCTCCACAACTATAGCACGATATTCCAGCACGGAATTGAGCGTACTGAAAAACTGGGTCAGTTTGCCTAGATCTAAATTAGTCCTATGAAAAGAGAACAGAAGTGCCATGTATTTGTCTGCATGCTAATCAATGAAGTAAGTACAGGGGGTTTTTCCTTACCACCTCTTCCTACAGTTTTCTCCTGCAGTTCCCAAAACACACACTTCTGTTTCTCAGGACACCAGTAATAACTAGTTTCATTCCTACTGAATTCCCAGTACTTTGCTCCGTTAGTGTTTGGCAGAACGGCCCACGAACCATCTTTGCCCTCCTGCCTGTAAACAGCGAGGGCAGATGGCACACAAGGAAGAGGACAGAGATCTGGAGCTTTACTTACAATTCTTTGTTTTGTGTGAATTTTCAGGATTTTGAGGAAATAAGCGTAGCTTCTCCAGGCTGCAGCGATGCCCGCCTGTACAAAGAGCTGCGGGTGCCATTACAAACCCAAAACAGAACCGGTTACTCATGTCCTTTCCGCTACCCCCACTGCAACTGCTGCGCTCTGACAGGCCAAGTGCTCTAGGTCTGGGGAGAGGGGACGGTCCCCTCCTTAACACCGTTGGGTTTCCCCTCGTACAGGTCACAGGCGTGGCACAGACACAAAGTATAAACCTTCCGCCACCTCGTAAGATCCTCGCAGGAAACAGCACTGTTAACTGCAGGCTCAAACCCAGCAGGAAAAAGGTGAAACAGAGCAGCTTAAAAATGGCCAGTAATTAAGGATGTACAACTTGACAGTCACTGGGCACCAGCTGCCGTTTGATTCTCCATGTATTTCAACAGCTAAACCTTCCTGTCAGACATCTCACCAAATTCACTACTCAATATTCAAACTGAAGAGGAAAAAAACCAAGCGTTAAACTACCTGAGAACAAGAAATTCTTCTGGCCTTAATAAATTTCAAACTGGACAGACAGTGACATGTAAACTGATTAAAAAACCAAAAAGTACTTACCGAATGTGTTTGATCAATGTCACCAAAACATACAGAAATTCATTTACAAGCTGAATAGGAAGAAACTTCCTGTTCTCCTGTGACTGATTCCTGCTTTCTCTCTTGCCTCCTAGATTTGTTAGCCACAGAGTATGGAGCAAGGAAATAATTTTATTTAACATCTTGTTTTCCAGAAACCTGAAAGACAGAAAAAAGCAGCAAAACACCCCGTTGAAAGAAGAACACTTTTCAAAAGCGCAACCACAAACCGAGTATTGGGTGCCAGAGGCCAAATCTGGGCTTTTTCACTCCCCGACGTACCGAACTGTACCAAAGAGAGGTGCACAACAGGGGAGCGGTACGTGACCCTAGTACCAGCTTTTGGGAACTGCCTACGCGCTCTGTGGTTCCCACGGCAGGGTGCTCGCTGGGAACCTGTTTGGGCCGATCGCGCTGTACGTGATCCGGACACCTTCCCTGGACCTGCCAGGAGAATCTACACAAAAGAGATCGTGTGGTTGTGTTCACATGCATGCACGTACGTGACGGAGAGGCAACGGGAAGAGGCAGGAGTGGAGGGAGGAACGTTACAGCCAGCTCAAACTCGTTATCACACCAATTACTGTGTAGGAGGTCCGACGACGGGATGTGAATTGTGGGTATTTGAGATGAGAGTCACGGACTCTAACAGAGGGTGCCATTCTGTTTTCTGAGTTTTTCAAGAAAGCGTTATCCAAAGCATGAAGCCCCTCCCATCCCTCCTACTACAACCTCAAAGCGCCTTGATTTTGTTTCTAGAAACACAAGGGAACTCTGCAGAGTTCAGCAAGTTGTGCCAGGACGGCCCTAGGAGCCAAATGTCACAACCGCTGACAGGCCACCTCTGTATCTGTCACCCTTGCTTTCATACACAGCTGCTAATTATTCTGCTGCAGAGAGTAAACCCGTTCCACTACCATTTCCCTAGTTACCTTTTCTCCAAGATGTGCAGTATCCAGGTGAGAAGGCTGTGGTCTTGTATCAGCTCATAGGCAGCTCTGGTGACACGGGCAGCATTTTGCAACACCTCCAGAATACGGTACTGAAACAGAAAACAGAATTTCTTCTTTTACAAAATTAGAATGCAGTCAGGATCTAATTATTATCTGTCTTTCAGAAGGATATGATTAGCAATCTGACTGGTATCCAGGATGTGATCCACAAGTTAGTGTATTACCAAACGCCACGTGTTCTTAGCAACCCGGGAGCAGAACAGACATTCTCTTTTCAAGGCTTCATACGCGCAGGCGCTACTCTTAAAACGAGGCCTTAAGGCAGCAAGACAAAATTAGGTCTCGGAGTCTTGGACCAAAAGAGAAAATTAACAGACTGGATTTCTCAGGGTGGGTGCTTATGAACACGACAGCTTCTGGAACCTGAGTTTCATTCGCGCCTATGT